CCTTACCCTTACCCTCCTGGTATCTCCACTCTCATTATTGGTCACACCAGAGGATTTCTGATGGAACTTCAAAAAAGTTCTATATGAAAGTCCTCACCACAATAAGCATAAATTGGCCAATATATTCCTAATAGCATTCATAGAGACACATTATAATAATTGCTAATACAGATCACAATTATGATCAACACAATCCTGATAAACAATTTTTTTCTTCAATCATTTTATTGGGGGCTTGTACAACTCTTATCACAATCCATACATACATCCATTATGTCTAGCACATTTGTACATTTGTTGCCAACATCATTCTCAAAACATTTGCTTTCTGCTTGAGCCCTTGGTATCAGCTCCTCATTTTCCCCCCTTCCCTCCCTGGTCCCCCCTCCCTCATGAACCCTTGATAATTTATAAATTATTATTTTGTCATATCTTACCCACTCCCTTCAACTTTTCTGTTGTCCATCCCCCAGAGACAAGGTTATATGTAGATCTTTGTAATCGGTTCTCCTTTTCAACCCCAACCCCGGTATCACCACTCACACCACACCACTGATCCTGAAGGGATCATCCGCTCTGGATTCCCTGTGTTTCCAGTTCCTATCTGTACCAGTGTACATCCTCTGGTCTAGCCAGATTTGTAAGGTAGAATTGGGATCATGATTGGGGGGTGGGGAGGAAAGCATTTAGGAACTAGAGGAAAGTTGTATGTTGCATCGTTGCTACACCGCACCCTGACTGGATCATCTCCTCTCCGCGAACCTTCTGTAAGAGAATGTCCAGCTGCCTTTGGATCCCCACTCAACACTGCCCCTCATTCACAATGATATGATTCCTGATAAACAATTTTAAGACCAATTATTAAACAGCATTCCAGCAGGGGGGGGGAAGCAAAAATAAAAAAACCTGGCTAATATGATGTGGTAGTTACATAATCTGGTGTCAATTGGGGACTTGAGAGGATTAAGAGTGAAGGGGTGAGGTCGTCTGTCAATCAATCATAGCTAATGAGACCTCTGTGTGAGCATGGCCTTCTCCTAAGAATTCTGGGAACTCCTGTAATTTCCTCCTTGGAGGCAGGAGACACAGGAGACACACTCTCTCTTGTCTCACTCCCTTGGAGACAAGACACATGGCACTACGCTGAAAGACTCCAGCCCTGGGTGCTAGAGAAGCCACATGGTGACCCCTGCCAGCACTGAGATGCTTACAATACCACTGGATCCATAGGACTTCCCACCTACTGGCCTGTGATCTTCCTACATTTGGTACCATTGCATATGTTTCATGTCAGAAGAAGCCTTTATATTGGTATCGAACTTATGGATTTGATTTGTACTGGACTAGGATGTTTCCTCAATATTCAGCTGCTCTTGTAAATAAACCTCTTTTCATACACGTGTCTCTTGTCTCTATGAATTTGTTTCTCTAGTCTACCCAGACTAACACATACGATAAATGTGAGCTAGTGGTACATTGGTAAGCACGCGACAGGAAAAACAGTAAACTATAAATTTCTACCACTGTATTTCTGGCTCCCTAACAACCCATAAGAGCTCAACTCTCAGGGCCTACCTGAATGTGTCCAAATTAATCAATTATACAATTAGGAACTCTGATGGTATTGCGGGTTGAGCACTGAGCTACTAATTGCAAGGTTAGCAGTTTAAACCTACTTGTAGCTCTGGAAAAGAAAATGTTGGATCCACTAATGGTTTATAGCAGGTGTAAGAAACCTTTTTTCTACCAAGGTCCACTGAATATAACATCATTCATAGGACATACTGATCAAACAGTTAATTAACTCTCCCCTAATGTGATAATTTGATCAGTATGGCTGGTGAATGATGTTATAAATAACCAAATGGCTGTTGGCTAGAGAGCCCTAGTGGCATAGTATTTATACATTGGGCTATGATCTGCAAGGTCAGCAGTTCAAATCCACTAACTACTCCTTGGGAGAAAGGGCTTTCTATCCCCATAAGCAGTCTCTGAAACTCTCAGAAGCAGTTCTATCCTGTCCTACAGGGTAGCTATCAGTCGGAATTGACTTGATGGCAGTTGAGTTTGGTTTGGCTTAGATGTGATGACTGAAATGGCTTCTCTTTGGTGAAGCACGTGATGTTAGCTGACACTGATGATTTCAAGGGGTTTATATATGGCCCAGGAGCTGGACATTCTCTACCCCTAGATTATAGTTTCAGAAACCTTATAGATCAGAATTGACCAAACGCAAGGGGTTGATACTGAAACCTTTCCCAGCTGAGAACTATTGCTTTCATGATAGGATAAAAGCCCAACTATTTACTTGATCTTTTATTACCAAGCTTGGGAAACTCATGTTTTCTAGTAATGGGGCCCTCATTTTATGGAACCGTTAAAGAGCTTTGCAAAGCCCCATCTATTACTCAGAACTTTATTGTTTATCGTTTCCAAATCTCCAAGGAAGGGAGAAGGAACAAATGAAATTCTAACTCAAATTAGCAATATAAATGGGCTACAAAAAGTTCATGGGAAAGTAGAATTCAAAGACAATATATTTTTTCCATAAATTTTCTGAGGTCCCCTCATATTAATGACTCTAAGCATCCATGGCTTTAATAATGGATCTGAAGTTCATCCACTCTTGCTTATGAGTTTGTAAAGGGACATCCCATTGAAGTTAAGTAATATAACCAGCTTATCATTAACCAGTAGTTTTTTTCTCAACATCCTCTTAAACAGTCCTGTCATGGCTAAAAAAGCTGGAAATCTTCTGATCTGAGAGATATTAGAGAAAGACATTCCAGAACCCCAACCAAAAAGAACTTTATCGGGTTCTGTTAACCACAACAATTCAACTCCAACCGGTTAATGCTCAGATCCACATTCACCATATCCGAAAATCACCTTCAAATCACATCTTGTTATGGATTGAACACGTGAGGGAAATCCTAACCTCTACAACAATGGTTATAATCCCAATGGGAATGGATTATCTTTGCTCTATTAATGAGACAGGATTGATGTAGAGTATGTCTTAAATCGATCTCTTTTGCTATTGAGATAGAACAGAATAAACACACAAAGGAGAGAACCTTTCCTCAGAGGCAAGAGAGACAGAAAGCCTTACCCTACCTTTGGAGGCCTGAATTTGAACTTTTAACTTCCTAAACTGTGAGAAAATAAGTTCCTGTTTGTTAAAGCCATCCACTTGTGGTAGTTTTCTTAACAGCAACACTTCTGATCCAGGTAAGACACATAGCTTAACCAGAAGATGACTAACTAACAATCTTGCAGGGGTTGTCAGTCTTTGGAAGGAGATGGATTCCATTCCAAATTTTTAAAGCAAACTAATTACAAAGTAAGAAGTAGACAGATTCTACCCAACAGCTATAGAAAAATTCCATACACTGCCTACTCTGTTCTGCATTTTTTGTCCATTATTTTCTTAAATAATTGCTTGCTTCTTTTTCTAATTTGAAGCTATCTTTAACGGTGTTATCTATATGTTCTCTATATTTAATAATGCTCTGTATACTCTTTGCAATCCTTAGAACATATTCAACACTTGGTGCAGCAAACTAAGTAATACATTCTGGAATACATTTGTTTCCTTTATTTCTAGCACCTGTAAATAAAAGAGGACTTCAAAAAGTTCTCAAAAAAGGTCCACTATCACTTTTACTCAATAAAGAGAGACTTGATCCGAAAGAGAAAAAAGGTCCACGATCACTTTTACTCAATAAAGAGAGACTTGATCCGAAAGAGGAAAAAGTTCCACTATCACTTTTACTCAATAAAGAGAGACTTGATCCGAAAGAGGAAAAGGTCCACGATCACTTTTACTCAATAAAGAGAGACTTGATCCGAAAGAGGAAAAGGTCCACGATCACTTTTACTCAATAAAGAGAGACTTGATCCGAAAGAGAAAGAGGTCCACGATCTTTTAGTTCCACTTATTCATGAGTGCTTAAAGCTCTCTCGTACTACTTCATACGGCAAGAAGGTTACAGATTTTGTTGGGGATTCCACCCGCCCTTTTCACTTCATCCCTGATGCCAAGGAAGCCTGGGGTAAGAGGCAAACATAGACGATCATGGTGCTCTCTGATTTCTGGGAGCCATTTATCATCTCAGGATCAGCAGCCTTTCAGTCCTGGACCCAAAGGCTGGTCTGTGGTTCCTGACTAACCCTTAAAATAGAAAGTCCAACAAAGGCAATGCCAGTGGAGGCAAGAGAGCCTGACTTGACTAGCATATGGATTACATAAAGCCCCATCCCAGCAATGTGGAGGGATGAGACAGCAGTCTGGCAACTGATTCCCTCAGGGGAGGGAATGCCTGGGCATCTGACCTCAGCAAGAATCCAGAGGAGGAGGTAGAATGGAATTAGCAGTAAAATGGGTAGAATTATTCATTCAAGTTCCCACTAGTGAAGATTTGCTCATTTTAAAAGGTTTTTATTCATGTGTTAATTTTTACAGCTATTTTAAAACCCAAATAATTAAAAAAAAGTTTTTTTTAATCATTTTACTAGGGGCTCATACAACTCTTACCACAATCCATACACACATCAATTGTGTAAAGCGCATTTGTACATTCATTGCCCTCATCATTCTCAAAACATTTCCTCTCCACTTACACCCCAGCATTAGGTCCTCGCCAAATAAATTTTATTAGGTACATTAACTTTATTAAAATGAAAATAGTCGGAAAGAGGGAAAACTGAATATATACTAAGAGAGAAAAACCAGTACAAATCCCATTTGTCATTCACTTTGAGGGATAGGTACATGATGTCACTGGATCATAAAAAGCAAACCTAGACCTACACAATCAAGTTTTAAAAGTTTGGAATTTTTTCAAATGAGCTAATTTTACTCCACTAAGATTAGTTCTCAGTCTAAGAATGCTTTTATCCACTGAAATTAAGAAATTTGTAGTTAATACCTAAAAGATTATTAAGTCAAGTGATTTAAGTATATGTCATCTCTGGAGGTTAATACTACCCTAACTCACCATTTTCAATAGGTGTGTCTTCAGGAAGATCCACATCAAGCATAAGGTCATCATCCTCAAGGTCACATGATTCAAGATTATTCAGAATATCCTGTGAACAAAAGTAGTAAAAAACACTATAACCAAGATGCCAAGAATTTATAAAATCATCAGTCTAGAAAACATTACACCATATAATCAACTTAGTTTTATTAAATATATGTAACTATACAATAAAATAAATAAATAAATGACCAAAGACTCACTGCCATCAAGTTGATCTGACTCATGGTGACCCTATAGGACAAGGTAGAACTGTCCACCAGGTGGGCTTCCAAGACTATAGCTCCTTGTGTAAAAATGTCAGTCTTTCCCCTTTGAAGAGCTCAGCTGATGGTTTTAAACTGCTGACCTTGTAAATCACAGACCAACAAGTAACCATTACAGCACCAGCTTCCAAGAATATCTTTTTTTTAAACTTTTAATTTAAAAATCTATGTATACAATAGATTTTCAAATTAAGATTTTTTTAAAAAAGATCCAGTTGGTTTACTTACCTTGTTATTTATAACGTGCTTCCTAGTTTTCCTCCCTACTAAATTTTTATTTTAAGCTGACATGTCAGATACTATTCTAAGCACTTTGAAATATTTAATCCACTTAGTTAATCTTCAAACAACTCTTAAGTAGTAGTGACTGTCATCTGCATACTAAAGGTGATAAAATTAATGTACAAAGAACTTAAATGCATGGCCAAAACAGGATTCTCAACACAGAAGTCTAGTACTTGAATCCATACTTTCAAAACCTACCCAGGTAAATATGTATAATCTAAAATAACAATGAATTACCCAAAATTTATTCATAATTGGCATTAAAATTAAGTTTTATTATCTCTAAGGATTGGACCACTGGCATAAAATAAAGAAGCTTTTAATATTACGTATACAGCATTTCCTTTTTTGTACCAGATCCTCTATTATTATCACCAAAACTGCTATCACTTTAATTTGGTTAAATTTGGCCTTTCTCTATAATATATATGGACTACATGAATTGATAGAAACAGCCCTTCATCGATTCCATTTGCTACTTTGCTAGCAATCATGTCCCCTCAGAAATGTATTTTACTTTCAAAAAATGCCTTTAAAAAAAGATGAACCAAAGAAAGCTGGCATAAAACCTGGTCAAATTCCGAAGAGGGCACAGAATGAAGGACATTATTGCTGGCATCAGATGGACCCTGGCTGTAGCATAGAATACCAAAAAGATATCTATCTACTTGTACTTAACATGGTCTTATTGGCATATATTTCACATATCATACAATTTAATTGTTTAATCACATTAGGAACAGTTGTACAATTGTACCTATATTTAATTGACAATGTAAAGACATTTGACTGTGTGGGTCGTAACACATTATCGATAACTCCTGAGACTCAAGAACATTTCTTTGTTCTCGTGACATTCTGTACAGGCCAGGAGGCATCATTTGAACCGAAGAAGGGGACTCTTGAGTGGGTGAAAATCAGGAAAGGTATGTGCTAGGGTTGTTTCCTTTCACCATACTTAATCAGTTTGGATACTGAGACAATACTCTGCGAAGCTGAACTCCTTATGAAGAAGAAAAAGACATTAAAATTGGAAGAAGGTTCACAACGCTTGTACACTTCTGAAGTAGGTGTTTCCTTCTCTCTAACCCACTTCTGATGAATTCCGTGCTCTTCCCTTTAAAAGTACATCAAAACAGAAACTTTCGCATTATCAAAGGACTCAAGTCATGTTCCTTTTATTTTATTACTTTTTTCACGTTTCTTTTAAATGTATTTTGAGTTTGATGATCAAAACTAAGTTCAAAAGGGCAAGATCAGGTTTGTAGGCTGTATGTGGTAAGGTTTCCCATGAAATCTGCATTGTTGTTACCCTACAAAAATGAGCAAGTATATCACTAATATTAAAAAAAAAAAATTCCTCAGTGTCATTTTCCTGGCCCAATGCAGTTTTTCAATTTTCTTAAAAGTTTTCATCATAAGCCCTCATGATCGTTTGGTCTTTAGAAAAAAAAAATCTATCTGGGATCCCAAAAGATAATTGCCATAACCTTCTGAGCTTACCTCTCTGCCTCAAATTATCTGGCCCAGAAGTTAACTTTAAATGCCATTTCTGATTGGTCTTTGAGTTCTAAAGCTTACTGGTGGATCCTACCCTCGGACCCAGTTATGATTCAATCCATAAAATGAACTTTATTAACCTTCAATCTTGTTTAAAAGACTGATGGAAAGATATACTCCGAGCTAAGCTGGTCTTCATGCACTGCTTTGGCAACCTTCTAGTCGAAAGCTGGCTGTGGCCAATATGTTCAATTAAATTTAAAATGGCTTCACCCTCCCGACATGATCACTGAAGACAAAGTGGGTGCATAAGCAAATGTGGTGAAGAAAGCTGATGGTGCCCCAACTATCAAAAGATATAGCGTCTGGGCTCTTAGAGGCTTGAAGTTAAACAAGCAGCCATCTAGCAGAGAAGCAACAAGCGTACATGGAAGCACACCAGCCTGTTTGATCATGAGGTGTTGAGGGAATGAGGTACCAGGCATCAGAAGACCCCTCAAAAATATTGTTGAGAACGAGGCAGGTCAGAGCAGAAACTCAAAACCCATCTGTAGACAAAAGGACATCCCCTTACAGAAGAGTCACAAGAAAGGGATGAGTCAAAAAGGGCTCAGTGTAGCACCGATGAAACATAATATTCCTCTGGTTCTTTGAGGCTTCCTCGCCCACCACTATCATGACCCCACTCCGGTCTTTCAGTTTTGGCTAGACCAGAGCATGTACACTGGTACAGATAAGAGTTCATGACACACAGAATCTGGGTCAGATAAACCCCTCAGGGACAGAAATTAGAGTAGGGATACCAGGAGCATAGCGGGAAGGTGGGGAGAGGAGGGGAGGAAAGGGGAACCTATCACCATGATCAACACATAACACCGCCCACCCCCACCCTGAGGGGGATGAACAGAAACGTGGGTGAAGGGAGACAGCGGTCAGTGTTAAGATATGAAAATTATAATCATTTATGATTTATCAAGGGTTTGCGAGGGGGGGGGGTTGGGGGGAGGGAAAAAGAGGAGTTGATACCAAGGGCTCAAATAGAAAGTAAATGTTTAGAAAATGATGATGGCAACATATATACAAATATGCTTGATACATTGTTATAAGAGCTGTAAGAGCCCCCAATAAAATTATGCTTTTTTTAAAAAAAAGAATATATCGTTTGTAAAATGCATGGACATTTTTAGTTTGTGCTGAAAAAACAAATTCAAACTTTCTTGTTCACAGCAGCACCTCATTTCAGCCATGTCAGCAGGCATGTTTCTTTCATTACACAGTCCCTCAATCACATGACCCCTTGGCCTCTGCCCTGCTCTAGCAAGAGTTACAAATGTCCTTTCATGCTGGAAAATGCCCAAAGGGCACCCCACTCTGCAAGCCAGTCACACAGGCACATAGCTTTACTGGATACATGGGCAGGAGAGTCCCACCATTCTATCTCATGGTCCTGGTGGGGTTCTTCCGCTCTGTCTCATAGTCTCAGTCCTGCATCTTCTGGTGCCTCTGCTACTTCACACCAGGATCTTATACATGCTGCACTGGAGGCTCTTCTCTCGGGCTCAGAATTCTCTGTTCCTGCTTCTGAGATGCCTCACTCATACACAGCAGAATGGCAAAAGTGACCAATTCCCAAGTTGCATGCTCCCACTCAGTGACTGGGAGGACATAACAAAGATGAGCAAGTCATTTTAGTTTACTGTAAAGGTAGTGATGGATTCTGAAACACCAGATAACCTAGTAGCGGAAATATATATATATATAAACACCTGGGTTGTTATCTATTGATTCCATTAGAAATCTATCCTTGGAAGGGTTTTATATATATATATATATTGATTCCATTAGAAATATATCCTTGGAAGGGTTATATATATATATATATATATATAGATTCCATTAGAAATCTATCCTTGGAAGGTTTTTTTTA